ATGCCAGCAGAATGCACTCACCTATGTGCGTCAATGTCAGCGGGCCCACCTGGGCTGAAGAGCTCACTGAAATACAGAAGACACAAGAGGAGAACGGGGGCTCAGGAAGGACCCAGCAAGGTGCCCTACCCCGGGGAACCGGGGAGCCAACACCAAGCCCACAGAGGGAGCCTGGGCTGCCTCACATAGAAATGCAGAGACAGAGTAGAGCTCCCCCAAGATGCTGTTCAGGGCCTGGATTTCTCCAGTCCAAAATACAGAGCCCCTGACAGGGAACTAGAAATCCCAGCATCCTCTTCCAAAATTCTCACCTAGGCTGGGCCTCAGCGTAATCCTATTGAGCATGATTTTTAAGTCATCACCTCTCTTCAGAACAATATAAGGTTCTCATCATTGACCCAACCCAGGGCACCATTCCCCTCAACCCATGCATGAATCCACTGGGACCCAGATGTGCTCACCACAGCTTTGTGCAGGAGAGCAGGGCACCAGGAAGGGCCTGAGCTTCAGCTCACCAGGGGCCGAGCACCTGGCTGAGGGACACTGTCCCAGGGCCTCATGCAATTCTTCCTCCAGGGTCACCATCTGGAGGGGTGGGGGACAGTTGTCCAAACACGGCCTCACGCCTCCATGCAGGAAAGTGGGCAGGGCATGCTGGCTCACAGATAGTCTCCCTCCCTGGACTCAATACACGGGATTCACGTAAAACAGTGACGGTTATGCACTCAAGGAAACCTTGGCCCTCCCTGCCCCGATCCCTGGAAGGAAAGGGTAGGCAGGTCATGGGATTCCAGCAAGACGCCCAGGCTGCACCCTACTGTAGGATCCTGGAGCACCTCCACTGCCCACACCAGCTCCCCTACATGACCTGGCCACACTTGGACCACTGGGCAAGGCCAGGGCCACCAACCAGCTCATGGCAAACCAAGGAGGCTGGACTGGATGCCATGTGCAGCTGCAGAACTGGCAGGCACATAGCCTGCCCCTGGATGTGGAAGGCACCTGTCCAGGCGCCTTCTATAAGCCTACACCAGAAATCGCATCCTGGAGTCCCAGGGCCACGTGCCTTCTCTGGTGGGTCCCCATTCATGCACCACGTACCTCCCAAACACAGAGCCAGGCCACACTCGGCCAATCAAGGGACACATGGTATCTTCTCCTTTCCTTTGGCTCAAGACTCCACCACCCTGTAGGTGACCCCATGTCTCAGAAGCAGCCAGGGCAGCAAATTGCTAGCACAGGTCCCTTCCACCACAGGATGCCACCCTTCCAGCCACTCCACTTTGGGGAGGGGTGACCTCCAATGGGACGCAGGCTGCACCCTTGGCCCACGATTCCCAGGGCCAACCACCAGATGCCGGCCAGAGCTCACCCTTGACCCAACCCTAGTGAGGCCGCACCACCCCCACCAGCCTCAAGGAGGCACCAGTGGGATGGCCCATTGCTCAACAGGGTCTGCCCCCTTCTGGGCCCAGAGTATGGCTCAACCCTTGAGTCTTCAAGGCCTGACTCTGTAAGGCCGATCACCCACACCCAACCCCCTGCAAGCCTCGGGGAGGAAGAGCTCCTGTATAAGACTCCTGGCCCCAGAGACCCTGTGGATGCCCTCATGTGACCTGGGCAGTCCTCCAGACCTGACCTGTGCACCAAGTCTCAGCTGAGATCTGCACTGCGTTGGGTTGAAGGAACCCTCTCCTGCCTGAACCTCTGTTACTGCTGCAGGGTTTCAGGGAAGGCATCTTTCTTGGGATCGATTTCCAAGGAAGCCACCCTCCTGGAGAAACTATCTGTCCCTGGTGGGGATTTAGGTCGGCTCCCTGAGGAAACCCTCGTGGCCTGAAGGGTGACCCTCAGTGGACCCCCATGGCCTGGCTCATGGGCCATGACCCCAGCAGGATCCACTCACCTATGCCGCTCAAGGC